TCTGCCGAAAAACTGATGCCATAAATAAGACGTGATTGTGAAGAGTGAGATATTTTTCTTTGAGAAGATAAAACTTATGAAAGTCCAGTAGACACTGTCACATTTGTCAGCCACACATTCACCAAGTGTAAATGCATTTTTTACAAAATAATAAAAAAGACCAAAAAAAAATTATTTTTACGTTTACGATTTTGTGCTGGGCCACATTCATAGCTGTCTTGGGTTGCAGGTTGGACACCCCTGCCCTAGAACATACAACTTTAATAGTACCACACCCAAAAAAAAAAAAAAAAAAAAAAACAAAAAAAACATTAATTATAATTAAATTTGATTATATCATCCAATAAACAATCTCTAAAATGGACTAAATTACACATATGTTGAAAGCAATATACAAATTAAAATCCTCATACGGACAGTTAGATTATGGAAGGATCTACTACGAAGGGATAATGTAACCCATTGTCTAACTCCAAAATAGGAAGTTCCACGTTATGACATCCTGATTGCTTCTTCAACACGTTTCACAGTACAGTGTCTGTTTCTTCAGGAAACCTTTTATATGTAGAACTGTCTGTCAAGGCTGTAAGCAGCATATACAGACATATAAAAGGCAATACAAGGCAACAAGCCATCTTGATGGATGGACCACAGACCCTCAATCCTCAACAAGGCCCGACAACTCGAGTCGTGTAATACGGTTAACAAACCCCCTGGAATGAAATCCATAAAATTAAACAGATACGACTCTGATACACTCCAGATCTCTCCATCCTAAGGCAGTCTAACTGTCCATATGAGGATTTTAAATTGTACAGCTTTCACTATATGTGTAAATTAGTCCCTTTTTTATGGATTTTTTTTATTGAATGATGTAATAAAAATGCAATTGTTTTTACATTTTTTTGGTGTGGTATTGTTAAATTGTAAAGGATGTGGTGCCAGTAACTGCACCAAACACAGGAGGAGGCCTTGTTGCCATTCTCCCCCACCAACTTTAATGGTTCAAGTTAGTGTAATCTACATCTTTTTAAATGATAAATACAGTTGAGAAGCTGGATCTTTTTGGCAACCTCAAGAAAATGCTGAGGGGGTGGGCAGGACTGAGCAGGGTTTTTACATTTTCCCAAAGTGTCTGCAGACAAAAGCAATGTGCTGTCAATCTAAAGAGTTGTGGGCGGAGCTAATTGTGGCTATTTACCTATAGGGCCATCTACAGAGCCAGCATCTAAGCAGCAGCAAGACAATGCTGCGGTGATTTCACTGCAGAAGGTAGAGCGTTTTCATCCAATTAATCCAGGAATCTGAGAAATGATGGAAAGAGATGGCCAGCAAATAGGCAGCACTCACAACGTGAAAGGAGATTTGTCAAGGAGGGTTCTATTGGATTGTCAATATTAAGTATTGTTTGCATTCCTATTACAATACAGAACGTATACGCTCTGACCATAGATCTCCTTTGACTCAGGGGGTTCACAGTACTGATTTAGCAAATCTTACTTTCTGTTATGACTGCCAAACATCTGCAGCAGCGGTTATAAATTCTGTGGCTATGTAGGAAGCTGCTGATGGGGTTGGGGCGCTCTATTTAGTACCAAAGAACAAAGGTATACCGCTCAGGCAAACAATCCAGATCAATCCACAACAGGTTCAGGTCTGGCTCGCCACCACACACACGATGCAATAGGAAGAAGGGTCAGCAGCACACCGGAGGATAGATGAATATAGTGTGTATTTATTGATCCATAGGACACACAAAACACCAGGACATGAATACAGGACCTGTTAACATGTTTCACACGATCTCATGCGTAATCATAACCAACATAACTTATGATTAAGCACGAGATTGTGTGAAACACGTTAACAGGTCCTGTATTCATGTTCTGGTGTTTGTGTCCTATGGATCAATAAATACACACTATATTCATCTATCCTCCGGTGTGCAGCTGACCCTTCTTCCTATTGCGCGCTTTTTGGTAGCAGTAATCTTTCTGACATAACCTGACACACACCCCCTCTGACTCCCAGCTTAAACGAAGCAATCAGCAAAGCTCATGCTCCGAAAGGTTTGCTGCTATCAGAGAACTGTGATTAGAGAGCTAGAGATTGCTCAGCAGCTAGATGAAAAACTAACACATTTGTTCAGTATTTTTACCTCCCTGAAATTTCTATTGGCCTTCAACCGCCTCCCACCCGCCATATAAGGTAATGACGGGAGGGTGGCGGTTCTCTCTCGTTCTGGGAGGATTCATATGACGTCCTTCCACTCTAACTGCACGCGAGTGCGCGCTGATCAGCGGTGTGCTGGGATCACTGTAAAAAGCCAATGACATCAGCTCTGTCATGTGATCAGCTGTGTCCAATCACAGCTGATCACATGTAAATAGGAAATGCCAGTTATCAGCAGTCCTCTCCTCCCGCTGACAGCTCGTGAGGAGAGGAGAGCTCGGCATTACTCAAAGCGGATATCTACACTGATCATCATACATACATACATACATACACAGTGAGGAACAGAAGTATTTGAACCCCCTGTGATTTTGCAAGTTCTCCCACTTAGAAATCATGGAGGGGTCTGAAATTCACATTGTAGGTGCATTCCCACTCTGAGAGACAGAATTATAAAAAAAATTAAGGAAATCACATTGTATGATTTTTAAAGAATGTATTTGTCTTGCACTGCTGAACAAAAATATTTGAACAACTGAGATAATTAGTGTTAATATTTGGTACAGAAACCTTTGTTTGCAATTACAGAGGTCAAACGTTTCCTGTAGTTCTTGACCAGGTTTGCACACACTGCAACAGGGATTTTGGCCCACTCCTCCACACAGATCTCCTCTAGATCTGTCAGGTTTCAGGGCTGTCACTGAGCAACACGGAGTTTCAGCTCCCTCCAAAGATATTCTATTAGATTTAGGTCTAGAGACTGGCTAGGCCACTCCAGAACCTTGATATGCTTCTTACGGAGCCACTCCTTGGTTATCCTGGCTGTGTGCTTTGGGTCGTTGTCATGTTGGAAGACCCAGCCACGACCCATCTTCAATGCTCTGACTGAGGGAAGGAGGTTGTTGCTCAAAATCTCATAATAAATGGCCCCATTCATCCTCTCCTTAATACAGTGCAGTCGTCCTGTCCCCTTCGCAGAAAAGCACTCCCAAAGCATTATGTTACCACCCCCATGCTTCACAGTAGGGATGGTGTTCTTGGGATGCAACTCATCCTTCTTTTTCCTCCAAACACGACGAGTGAAGTTTAGACCAAGACGTTCTACTTTCGTCTCATCTGACCACATGACTTTCTCTCTTTTTTTTATATTTAAATATTTATTAATTTTTCATAAAGATAACATTACACTTTCATCTTTTTCATAATAAATACACAATTCCTTCTTATCCTTTATTTTTCCCTTCTTAAAAACATTACCCCCTTCCTCTCTCCCCCCCAAACAACCCCCCCCACTCTGCGTTCTTCCCTACTTTCTGTCTAAAGCAAGCGTATCCTACCCCTCTTCTCTTCTCATTTCTACTGCTTCATATATATTCGTTTGAAGTACAAAATCTTCCCATTTCTCCCATCTCCTTTTATATATCTCCATCTTACCCTCTTGGATATAGTATAGTTTCTCCATCTACTAAATCTGCTTTACTCTCTCAAAAATGACTTTCTCTTATGACGTCACCACGCTCCCAGAATCCTCCTCGCGTACCCCTCGCGTACAGAATCCTCAGGTACGCGAGGAGGATTCTGGGAGCGTGGTGATGTCATTTCCGGCGTGGCGGCCATATTGTGAAACCCCTATATACAATACCCATGCAGGACATGCATAGCATGAGGTATAGGAGCCTGTAAACTGGAGAAATAAATGTGAGTGGGCATTTTTAAATATTTATGGAATATATGGCATAAAAAGCGTTTTTACAATATGTGAGTTTCCATTTATATATGAACCGAGGAGGAGGCTGCTGAGAGAATATATGAGTCTGGGGAGGATCAGGTGATTCATCAGAGTGGTGTGTTTTTTTCTTAAGGCAAGCTGACCCTGTGGGGTCTATGCAAGGAGGTGAGGGGCCACTGTAGCCACTGTTTGGATTTACACAGTGTGGACACCTGGGATCACATGCATGAAGATTGAGAATTGTTTTACTTGTTTGGACACTGAGTTTCATATGAATTCTCTTTGATTATTTGCAGTGATTTTATTATTTATTGTTATCCCTTAGAACACTTTAATATTCCCGGAAGGGAATACATGTGTTGCACTTTAATATTTATTTACACTTTTTTTAGTATATATTTATATTTTTTTATATATTGATTATTATGGATTGTATATTGCACAGTTATATAATTTGCACATATTTTTAGCACTTTCATATGTCCGTTATTATTATATATGGGATTGTAGGTTTAGCGCTGCACTTTATATTATTTATTTTTAAAGGCACAGTAACAGGTCTTTGAGAGCCAGAATTCTTGCTATTTCTTAGGTGTTCAAATTCTTTAAAAATCATACAATGTGATTTCCTGAAATTTTTTTTTCAATTCTTTCTCTCAGAGTGGGAATGCACCTACAATGGGAATTCCAGACCCCTCCATGATTTCTAAGTGGGAGAACCTGCAAAAATCGCAGGGTGTTCGTGTGTGTGTGTACACTTATTTGCAAATCTCATAAAACCTGTCAGTCCTAGATGGATGTGAGTGACATATCTGTATTTGTTTTAGGTTTCAGGATATTAATAAGCTTGACTAACGAAAACCACAATGATGGTAACAGATATATTGGAAAGTTCAAGCAATGCATAAAAACGCACATCATAGATAAGCAGGAGTCAAAACCATGCACAAGGACAAAAGGATTGTACCAAGCATCCAGGTTGAGCATGCTGGGATAATGTCATTATCAGATTTTAAACTCCTCTACAAGAAAATAAAGAGCATATTTAAAAATACCACATTAAAATACAAGAGGTTAATATAGAAGGTTTACAGCCTACCTTTCTCATCCTGGCATAATCTATTAATCGTGCATATGCACTGGTCCCGGCAATGATAAGTTTGGGTCGGAAGAGACGAGCGGTCACCTCTAGTTGGTCATAGTCAATTAACCCAGTCGCTGCCTAAAAAAAAAAAAAAAAAAATTAAAAATAAAATAAACCAAAATGAAAATAAGTTGATTGTGAACATTGCTGCACAAAACAGATTCAGAAACAAAACTAAGATTACATTTTGGTTGTTGCAGATCAAAAACCTTGATTGATCCTGTATTTAAAGTGGTACTAAAGCCTAAATGGTTTTCACCTTAATGTATTCTCTGCATTAAGGTAAAAAATGGCTCACCTACCTGTCCTGACTTCCTTTCCCTAAACACTTACCTGGCCCCATGTCACCGCTCCAATGCTGTGTACGTTTCCAGCTTTGTTCCCCTCACTTCCTGCTTTCACAAGTAAAACTGAGGGAAGCAGAGTCATATGCTCCTGCTGCTATCAGCCAAATGCCTGTGAGGAGGGAACGGGGCATGGCTTACCAGTGCTGTGTGTGTCTATGGACGTACACAGGCCAGCTTGGGAGTGTGTAGGCACAGTTGCATCTTTAGCACCAGGCTTGCTAAAGGAGGCACCTGGAGGAGAAAAAAAAAGCCAAGAGCACCAGCAGGGGGGCTTCCAAAAGAGGAAAAGTGATCTTTCTGTGCAATATCATTGATAAGAGCAAGCATTACCTTTTATTGATTTTAATTAGCCTATAGTATCACCGCTCCTATCAGACCAATCTTCCCATCTTACTCTGTACAGTGTGTAAAACTCTTCCAAACTCAAAATGTGACTCCAAAACCCTTCTTCAGTTTTTGACTTGGGACAAGTTAGAACCTCTGCCAGTTTTCAGTTGTGTCTGTGTGCCTGCTGGTGGACTGTTCTAGCCTATTTCATATCTAGGTGGCCAGGTGACAAATGTTTATACTGTTATGTCGCTGTTGGGGTGACTTTACTTCCAGTCTTGGTGAAAATGTTGTCACCAGGACAGGGAGAGGAGATCTCCCTATCTAGCAGCTAGTAAAGTAAGAACACTTGATATGCAAACTAGTTCTGGGTTGGGTATTTTATACAGCATTAAAGCCAGGCAAATTGCATTTTCGAAAGACAAGACGACTGCAATTTCTGATCTTATTCTATGAACACTGAACTTCTCCTATATGCTCCTTGTTAGTCATTTATCACAGAAACCACAACTGCATATAATATCTGAACATATCAGAGATTCAGAACTGTCCTGTGCACACTTCTTGTGTTATCCCATGGAGCCTAAATAGCCCTGTACTTTTCTTGAACTACAGAACAATTCCCCCTTATGTTGTTGAGATATGGAGAGGGGGAGGTATTCTGTAATTTAGCAACAGACACAATTTGCAAATTCAGTGCAGATGTAGCCCACAGCAGAAAATTAGGAGCTGAATGCTTTTCTGCCAGGATCAGAATGTATTTTTGTGTACTATTGGGGTCCTTAAAGGAACAAAACATGGGGAAATGGGCACATATTGCAGAGATGTACCTTTTTTTTCGCTCTGACATGAAGTTTAGCTTTACCGGGAAATCCTGAGACATATTGTGCATAAGTTCCCTAGAGCCAGCAGTTTTTGATAGTATATAACAGTAAAAAGCCACTGTGGGTCATTAACTACCACACCCAAAATGCCTAGCTAGAGCTTTCTTTTTAAGTTCACCTCAAAATGTCTACTCAAACCTGACCAACATTTACCATCCTTCCATTTTCAGCATTTATTCATGCTATGCCCCTTTATATGCAACCTAAAAAAATTTACTTGTGGACAAATACTGCACTTCATCCACCCATAGACAGAGCACATTTTCCTATGCCCTGTTCTTGTGTGCACACCCCCAACACACGTTCTGTAATCTAATCCAGTGAAATGACAGTCAACATGACAAGGATCACACTGGAGAGAGAAAAGCCTGGTTGGCTAGTAAGCAAATTACTGGAACTATATAAATTAGGACTGACAGAATAATCATCACACACACACTTCTGTGAACAACCCTAATTCCAAAAAGCTGGGATATGGTGTAAAATCTACAAAAAAAACAGAAAGCAATGATTTGCACATTTCATAAATAGATAACATGAAATGTTTAAACTGAGAAAAAGGGTAAAAAGGGAAAAGGGGTAAGATAAGGGGTGTACGAAGAGGAGAGAAGAAAAACAAAAAAGTGAGTATATTAGCTGAACGGATTACACACATCGCTGTACGTGGAATAAGTTGTATTATACAGCTAGCAATGGATAATTTAAAAATGTTAAAAAGTTGTAATACTTTTTAAAAGTGTTATACTCTTTAGCGATTTTTTTTTCCTGCAAGCGCCATAACATTTTGCTATGCAGAGCGAGGTTTGCATTAAACACCAATGAAACATTAGAGTTCTGCATACAGATTTAATATATCATTTTTTATTTTTGTTATCTACAACTCACTAATCAGACTGTCATGTGAAATGTAGGTCAAAATTACAGAGGTTCCCCAAGATTTGAAAGTATTTTCAAGGGTTAATCCAGGATTAAAAAAAAAAAACAAGTTTGAGAATATTTGTATTCAAAATGTGTATTTGTCAGAAAGTCCACCTAAAGCATACATGAGCAGGGTTTTTAAACACTGCATGGAAAAAAGGGGGCAATGACGCAGAAAAAGAGACAGGGAAACAATGGGGGACACATAGCGTGCTATAAAAAATGTCTACTAAAGAACCACACAAAAAGTTATGAAACAAGCAACAGTGCACTAAAGTTCTTGCCATGAAAACTCTGTAGAAAGACTTTGAAATATAAAATGTACAGTTCACTGAATCCTAGATAGAATGAGGGCCTGTAGCTGAGAAACCTGGACTTAGTGCGCTGTCTAACCTGTCAGTCCGTGTGCTGGATAAGTCATGACAATAAATGCAGTATGACCAAAATTGGACAAGTCAGGGAAGGCAACAGTAACCAGACTGAATTATTAAGTTGCAGTCTAGCGACAGTGGCCCCCAGCAACCAATCTCAAGCAGTTTAGCAGGGCTAATTAAACCAAGGACAGGTGAGTTATGTCAGCTACAGGCAAAAAGATAGTGTTTTTATTTTATGGAGGCACAAATCAAGCCCTAGGTGGTGACGGAACACCATGGCTATAATGCAGAAGTCATGCCTAATATCAGATCTCTCTGCCATGGATGACATTGTGTATCAAAATTAATATAATAGCCTTATGATGGGTGCCATATCCCTCAGTGGGAAATACACATTTTATATTGAGAGGAAGTATATTTTATAAAAACATTGCAAGGCGATAAATTACACAAACATTACTCATGGTTACTATAATTATGAAACATAGGTCCACTAGAACACATCTATTGTACATTAATAAGAGTTTAATAATGCTTAATGCCATGGAATACATTTACATGCAGATCTGGAAACCGCATGACAGTTCATGTAATAAGCTGCAGACTGTTATATGGAAATAATATAAATAAGAATGCTATTTAGGAACAAGTAAGCAAGCTTAAAATATTGATTGGGAACACGCTTCATTTTTTTTCTCTTTTATATACACAGTGCTGTGAAAAAGTATTTGCCCCCTTCCTGTTTTTTTGCATATTTGCCACACTTGAATGATTCAGATCAAACAAATTTTTATTACACAAAGATAACCCGAGTCAACACAATATGTCGTTTTTAAACAAAGATTTTGTTTATTAAAAGGAAAACAAAGCTGTCCAAACCTGCCTGGCTCTATGTGAAAACTAATAACTGGTTGTGCCAACCTTGGCAGCAACAACTGCAATCAAGAGTTTGTGATAACTGGCAATGAATCTTTCACATTACTGTGGAGGAATTCTGCCGCACTCTTCTTTGCAGAACTGTTTTAATTCAGCCACACTGAAGGGTTTTCAAGCATGAGCGGCCTGTTTAACCAATTCAATACCGTGCAATGTTACACCTTCCTGCCCTGGCCAGTTTTCAGGTTTCAGCGCTCTCACACTTTGAATGACAATTGCGCGGTCATACAACACTGTACCCAAACTAAAATTTTATCATTTTCTTCACACAACTAGAGCTATTCTTTTGGTGGTATTTAATCATCACTGGGGTTTTTATTTTTTTGCTAAATTAACAAAAAAAAAAAAAAAGACCAAACATTTTTGAAAAAAAAAAAACCACGTTTTTCTTTGTTTCTGTTATACAAGTTTGCAAATAAATAATTGTTCTTCATCAATTTAGGCCAAGATGTATTCTGCTACATGTCTTTGGTGAAAATAACCCAAATTAGGATGTATTTTTTAGTTTGTAGGAAAGTTATAGAGTTCACAAACTATGGTATAGATCTGAATATTGATCAATCCTGAAGTACTGACAGCCAATCTAATTTCTTGAGGTCCAAGAATGTCAGAACAGTAGAGATATCCCCTAAGTGACCCCTTTTTGCAAAGTAGACAGTCCGGCGTACTTCATAAGAGGCATGGCGAGTTTTTTGAAGTTGTATTTGTTTTGTCATGTTTCGGAAAATAAAAAAAAAAAAAAATTAGTTTCACTATTTTTTTTTTTTACATATTGTCACCAGTGCAGTACAGCGTCATCATATAACTGGCATGGCGGTGATCAGGGACACTGACTGGTGACAGTATAAAAAAAAAAACCAAACTTTTTTTTTATTATTTTTTATTAAATTTTCTTTCTTTCTTTGTTTTAAGATTTTGGGTTTTTTTTTATATTTCACTATGACCAAAGTAGTACAATGTTACCATAGTAACATTGTACTACTTTAGGGAAGTGATCAGTATTTTTTTTTTTTTTTTTTACACAAATTTTCTTATAGCAGAGAATTACTTTGCTATAAGCAAGCATTTACCTGAATGACATCGATTCATTCAGGGGTTTTTTTTTTGTTGTGCTTAGCTGTGATTTGGCCACAGCTAATCACATGACATGTGCATGTAATTAGCTGTGACCATTCACAGCTAGACACTAGTATACAATGGATGGCATGAATGAAGCCATCCATTGTATACAACTGTCATGTGACCTGCTGTGATTGGTCACAGCAGGTCACATGGTACTGGCAACGGGGCTG